TATTAAAATCAACGATACAAACTGGAAATAAACTAATCTTAAGGCGCCTCAAGGCTCCCAGTTTGTGAACCACTGTGGTAAACTAACGTTACACAGCTCCTCTGTTTGTTTGTTTGTTTGTTCTTTAACTCCAGTTGCTAAAAGTTCATCGTTAATAAGAAAACAGTTATCGGTCTTAGTTTCTGAGGCGTTCTCCTTTTAATGAGCTTCATTATACAATACATAACATAGTCAACAATAAAAGAACACGTTGCACTAGATGCAGACATGTATGTTGCATTCAGGGACGTGTATATATGTTGCATTCAGGGACGTGTATATATGTTGCATTCAGGGACGTGTATATATGTTGCATTCAGGGACGTGTATATATGTTGAAAAAAAAAAAATGAAGCTTTCATATAGTTTAGATTCATTCCACACAAAGTGAGATATTTCAGGCCTTTTTTGTTTTAATCTTGATGATTACAGCTCATGGAAATCAATAAACCAGGATCTTAAAACTTATTAGAATTTTAGAAGAAAGAATTTATAAAACAGAAATGTCGCCCTGAGAGGAGCTCTGATCAGCTGAATAACTCAAAACACCTGTTCCTTTAATCTCTGTCTGGTTCTGGTGCTCACATTTCCACATTTCCACCATATTGGTATTTATTTCAATTTTAATGTCCACCTGTGTATGTTGCATTCAGGGTCGACCCCTGACGACCGTGTAAAACTGATCCTCTGATTGTTGTGCAGATGCTGTCCACAGTGCTGAACATCATCATCTTCGAGGACTGTAGGAACCAGTGGTCCATGTCTCGACCTCTGTTAGGCCTCATCCTGCTCAACGAGAAGGTAAACATCCGACACACTCGAACGCCTCGTAAACATAATACATAAACTGTGTGTGTGTGTTAATGTACGTGTGTGTGTCCTGCAGTATTTTGCTGACCTGAGGAACAGCATCGTCAACAGTCAGCCTCCAGAGAAGCAGCAAGCCATGCACTTATGTTTCGAGAACTTGATGGAGGGAATCGAGAGAAATCTACTAACAAAGAACCGGGACAGGTAACGGCCCCGAATATCTGTGCGTCTCAACTTGTGTTATTTGTTGTCGTCTACTCTGTAGTTGTCTTAGTCTGTTATCGTGTTTCTGGTTTTCATTGTTTCATTATTCTTTCATTTAGTTTCTTGTTGTCTTTGTGTCTGTTTTTGTTTGTTTCTTATTTTATTACCCCGTTCCCTACAGGAGGCCTTTGTCTCCTGCCAGGTCGTTATTGTAAATAAGAATGTGTTGTTAAAAGAAAAGGGCTTATTGTCCTACTTCTGTCAGGATTAGGGCTGTGCGATATGACTAAAAATTCATATCCCGATATGGAACATCTTCAGTAAAGTATCATGAGTTCATCTCTAACCGTAACTCGTGACATTTCTCTGCATCATAAAGGTATGTAACTTATGCGATTCTGGAGAAATCCAGTAACCTGACAAATGCCACGATATAAAGTGAACAACGACGCAGCAAGTAATATCACAAACTTTTTGCTGCTGCAAAGCTAACGTGAGAGGACGAGACCAGAGCAGCACAGCAGCTCCAGACTGCGACTCTCACAGCTCTGCTGCTGCTACAGCTAACATCACAACAACAGCCTGATTCCTCCAGTTATGAGTGAGCTTCACTCTCCTCCACATTTGTTTATCCCGAATGCAAAGTGCGGGACCACGGTGAAGTTGGATTTAAGTTGGAGATTCGGCAGATGTCTGTCAAAAATCCAACATAAAACTAACTTCGCCGTTCCCCTCGCCAAAGTATTGCGGTAAAGTCCAGAAATTGCGATACAACGAAATAAACGAATCGTCGTATCACACAGCCCTAGTCGGGATGGACCTGAAACTTACCTACTTTTAAAATGAAACGTGTCTGTCTGAACTCAGCCCAAGATTTGTTAGGAGGCTCCACTCTGCAACAGCACTGCACAGTCAGAGTGGACCGAGTCTCACCCGTTTCACCCGTCTGTCTGCAGGTTTACTCAGAACCTGTCCGTGTTCAGAAGGGAAGTCAACGACAGCATGAAGAACTCAACATACGGCGTCAACAGCAACGACATGATGAGCTGACATTCCACACAGAGGAGTCTTATCCAGCTGCAGACAGAGCTCACCCCTCCCTCGCTCATCCACAGCCTCCCTCCCTCCCCCCTCTCTGCATCAGCCTCCCCCCTCCCTCCCTGGGCCCGGATGCCTGGGGATCATCTCCTCCCCCCGACACGACGTACGGGATCGTTGATGAAATTCAGCGAATAAACCGCCGTGCGTTGCACCTCCCTCCCTCCCCCCCTCCCTTCTTGCTCCTTTTTGATATAAACATATATAAATATATACAGATCTATTTTAAAGCGATGGTCTGACTCGTCTGGCTGTCCTAACAGTGGAGGTGGGGGGGGGGGTCGCATGTCTAAGCACTCTAAATCACTCGCAGAGGAAGGAGGGGGGAGTGCTGTGGATGTGGAAGGAGGCGAGGAAGGGGACGAACACCGGTAAACGTAGTAATCCGCTTCTGCCTGCCTTGTATAGAAAAACACACAGAAAAACCAAGTGTACATTTTTTTTCGTAACATTTTGAACAATGTTTATAATGATTGAATTTAAAAACACAAAGAAGAGTTGAGGAAAAACAAAAAAAACTAAACAAAAAACGGTGTGATTGAGCTTTTTACAGTGTAGTGAGTTAGTGCAGCTGTCTGTCTGCGTGGGTGGGGAGCGAGCTTTCCACAGGAGCGGGAGGACGGGTGAGGTCTGGGAGCGGGAGCGGGGGTGAGGGTGAGTGTTTGGGTGAGGGTGGGGGGGTGAACTGAGCTGCAGGGTGGCCACGGGAGCACTTAGGCTGCGGAGTTGTCACGATGACGAGGAAGAAGAGGTACACACACTAACAGAGAGGGAGAGTCAGAGCATCCATGTTGTACATTTCACTGAAGTCTCTGGTTGAAGTGATGTAAATAGCCACGCCCCCTTCGCGGCAGCAGGCTCGGCGGCCTGGAAAGGGACAACGCTGCTGTTTTTCAACCGGTACTCGTCTTTGTGTCCGTTCTGACTCGGTGTCACAAACTGCTAAACGTCTGTCGGCTTCAAAAGCTTCCAGATAGACTTTTTAGAGAAATCATTTTGAGCGGGAGCTGAAACAGTTAATCGATTGAAAGAGAACTCCTCAGATTTATCTTGTTTTTATAAAAACGATCAAAATCAATGCAGCAGAAGCCTTTTTTTTTGTTTTTTTTATTCCACACATTCTTCTTCTGTGTCACAACCTGCTGCCTACATTTCCCACAGTGCAACTCAGCGTCTGATAGCAGGAGCAGCTACAGACGTCCACACCAACAGATTCTTTTCAGTTTCAGACTCGTCGTCGTCACTCTTCTCTCACAGCTCCCTCTGAGACACTAAAGCCCTGATGCTACTTTAAACCGTCTGCAGCAGAAATCCCCGACACCCGGAAACACACTGAGGGGGGAAATCACTGGAGTTCATCTTTAATCGATTAGTTGATTAAAAGGAAGTTGTCTCCTGATTCGATAAACTAATTTATTGATTCAGTCGCTTTTCAAGCAAAAGTTCAGCCGTTAGGTTTGTTTTCTTTTTCTTACAGACGGTGAACTGAATATCTTTGAGTTTTGGACTGACAAAAACAAGACCTCGGACTCTGGGAACCTAGTGGTGTTTTTCAGACATGTTCCAGACTAAAGTTATCCAGTAACTCAAGAAATGAAGCCAAGAGGCCTGAATCATCTGAAACGCTTCTGACTTTCTGAAGTAAACACACAAAGTTACCTGCAGTAATAATATTTACTAATTTCTGGAATTAGCCTAATTAATTAAAAAACAATTCTAAATTGATCCTTTTTTCAGTAAAGCTAAAAAACACCATCATAATGTCCCAGAGCAAAAGGAGGATTAAAATGTCTCGTTTCGATCGACCAAAACCCAAAGAGATAAACTTTATAAACACGTGTGACACACGGACGCAGCGTTTGAGAAGCTGGAACCAGAGAACGTTTGGAGCTTGAGTTTGTTTCGGGGGCTCGAGGTTGGAAAACACCAGGTTTCCTTTCCCGCCGTCCCGTCTCCTCACAGCATAGCCAGGCGGCAGCGGCGTGCCGTCAGCCATCGTGCGTACACGCTTGTCTCCCTGTGACGACCGGCGTGTAAACAACATGGTCACGGCTTCACACCCCCCCTCTGGCAGGCCGGGTGCAGTTTGACCATTTTGTTTACACTCTGGATTCCTCAGACCAGGTTTTGGGACTGCCCCCTTTAGGTCCAGCAGCGGGGTCATTTTTGTGTGTGTGTGTGTGGCTCTCTGTTGCCTGGTGTGTGTGTGTGTGTGCGTGTGTGTGTGTGTGTGTGGCGTTGTCATGGTGCTGCAAACCCAAGATGGCGCTCAAACAGCCGAGGTCTGGGCCACCTTTATAGGAGTGAGAGATGATGATGATGAAGATGGGGGGACAGTAGACCCGTTCAGCGCTCCCTGAAGGAACCGTTCGGTCTGAAGGACCTGCAGAACGCTGCGTGGACCTTCGGCTCGTCAGAACCGTGTACAAAGAGACGCCGGCGTTGAGTCTATTAGCAACTTGTGTTCCTCTCTACGATGTTGCTGCTAACTGTTTGTGACAACTAGCTCATTTCTAACCTGTCAGCACTCATGGATGTTCATGGAGTTTCTCAGTTTTGGTTTGTGTCCCTGATGTGAATGTGCTGGGTCCATAGAGTGAGTAGCTGTTTGAGTTGTTTGGATGTCTGCTACATATAGTGTAAGCATTGTGACTGCAAATAAACCTCATTGATTTTTACCTCCACGCCTCTCTCTGTTTGTTCTGAGTCCGTCGTGCAGCAGCCAGCGGAGGAGGAGGCCACAGCTGACGGGATGTAACCTCATGAAATAGAATAGAGTGTCTCCACAGCTGCAGTCTGTCTGTGCAGTGAGTACTCTGCATCAATCAGCTGGTCAATATCACTTCAGTAAGAAACATCTGCTGGGTTTTTTAACAATTTTAGATTTCTCTTTTACTAAACATTCAATTTGTACAAGAAAATGATTGCTCGTGGCTGCAGTGTCTCTTCAGGCATTGATGGACCTTTTTAACCTAAATTACAGTGTTTTAACAGGATGAGTTGGTTTTATAATAAAGTTTATTTATAGAGCACCTATAAAAACAAAGTGCCTCAGAGAGAAAATACATGAGGCAAAATAAAATAAGAAAACAGTAAAATAAGCTCAGATAAAATCAGGATATGCCTTCAGATAAAAGTGTGTTTTAAGACGAGACTCTGACGATCTAAATTTCCTCAGGCCGGTTGTTCCAGGGCCAAAATATCAGGAGTCAGGTCAGGTAGAGCCTTAAAAGTAATCAATAAGATCTTAAAATAAATCCTAAAATAAACAGGAGAAAAACAGGTGACGTGATCGGACTTCCTGGTTCTGGTTAAAAGTTCTGCAGTGTGGAGTCAATTCAAGGGTTTTAGATTCAGAGCAGACAAGAGGCTGGTGCAGTAATAAAGATGTGAGGAGATAAAAGCAGGTCCAACAGTTTCTGCATCTCTAACCTTAGATTTAGTTTTAGCAACATTTCTGGAGGTGATAAACTGGACGAGCTTTGTGACGTTGTGTCGACGCACCTAGAGCTCTTGCAACAGGCTGGACATGTGACAGGTGACCAGTAGGTGGCAGTATTTGTCCTGTGAAGTGTTGGAGTGCAGTAACAGTGATACTTTATCTACTGTTGAGAATGTCTGAGAAAAATGTCTTGTAACGTCAGAAGGATTTATTAATGAGAAACTGAGCAGGTTTTCTTCATCTGTTAGCTCACTAAACTGAATCCAGATGTTTGTGATGAACACCGACACTCAGCAGTAAAATGTAGCTGACTTTTTATTTGTCGTTTCCTTTTACGGGCAAACAAAATGCAACTTGAGCGTAATTACAAAATAAACAGACCACTTCAGTTTGGCACAATCAAACTTTACAGTAAATACAAAACATGTTGTCCAGACAGAGCGGAGGAAAAGGAGCAGCTGTCAGACTTCAGTATAACAAAACAGATGACGTTTTCAGAAAACGTGACGTGTTGAGTGAAAATAAAAGGATGAACCCTCAGGAGGCGGGAGGACGTCCTGCTGATGGTGCGCGGGGCTGGACGGGCCTGAAGCTAGCTCTTTGAACATTTGGACATGAAGACGGTGTTGTTGAAGCCTTCTCTGTTACGGGCGATTTCAACAGCAAAGAACTGAACCCTGGTGGCTGAAAACAGGAAGAAATACAGAGTCAGTTTTCTCCTGTCGCTATGGTAACGTTCTTAGTAGTACACTTGTTAAAGTCATCTAAACCTAAATCAGTCAGTTAGTTGAGGACAAAACAACGTCAGACTCGTGTTTCTAAAGGTCGTCTGTTACAGGTCATTTCTCTGTTTTCACATTCAGGCCAAATTCAAACTGCACGTCACAATTTCACCCCATTATTAAAAGTGATCAGTGAAAACAACTTCTCAGATTATTGATGCAAGAAACAAACTTTACTGCAACATATAGGTTTGTTTAATCAAGTGTAACAAACATTACAACAGTAATTATGAGTGGTTATCATGTAGTGTATTTTAAAGTAATCATTGTCGAATCCTTTGAGGCTCTGTTTGTTATGTAGAGCACTAAACTACCAACTCTGAGGTCGTGGGTTCGAATCCCACTGAGATCACATGGAACTCTCAGGGTGGTGGTTCTAACGTTTCAGGCAAATTACACAACAATACCTACATGTACGTTAAGCAAAGAGCATAGTGAAGGTTTAAGGTATAAAATCTTATCCGAACTTGTGCAGGTACTTTGTATGAACGTGATGTATTTTAATGTCAAACGTCTTTCTACATGTTTTAATACTTAAAGTCAGATGTACTTAGTTATAAAAAAAATTAGTTTGTTTTTTTTGTTCAAAGAGTAATTAAATATTACCACATTCTTGTGTATAAAGTACCACAGCGACAGAATTAAACAGTAATACTGTGTCTCACCAAATATGGTGTTCTCCTCTGTGTAGTCCTTCTCACAGTCCAGGCGCAGCAGAGTGCCGTAGTTGAAATCTTCAACGAGACCTTCAAACTGGTTACAGAACGGACGCCATCTCTGCGCACACAGTCAGACATAAACACTTGAGTACTTTAATCACTACTGCCGCTCTGTTACTGCACCAGGTTTACTGTCATGGACGAGTTCTGCTGCAGAATTTATTTTCCTCTGTGGTTCAACCAGGATGTGAAAGATGTACATGTATTAGAGGGAAGTACATTTACATGCTGAATATAAAATAATCTGAAGACCTTCTTTAGGAGCAGTAGGCGCCCAAATCCTCCAGTTTTAGTATAACCTGACATCAATCTTTAAAAATATGCAAATGGTCTTTTTCTTTTACATAAACAGCCACCTTGATTCAGATCCCTCAGATTTATTTTTAAAATAGTGAAGCAGATCGATCCTGAAAGGAGCATTTCGGCGCTCTCTAGTGGACAAACTGCTAAATGGCCTCGACCTGCGTTTAGCATTTCTGACATGTCTTGTTCCTCGTCGGCCGACATACAGACGGGGACAACCTGAAGGACAAAGCTGAATCACAGTAAATAAAAAGGCTGCGGTCTTTACAGTCACCTGATCTCAACACAGTTTCACACCTGAGGAAGATTTTGGAGCAACGTGTGAGACGATGCTCTGCAGCAGCATCTCCACATCACCAGATGATATTTCAACTCATGCCTGAGAATCTTCATGTTTTTCAGTTTTCTTCAGTGACAGCTGTCTGTACAGCCATGCTAACAGCTAACAGCTGATTCAGCTGCTTTTAATGTGGAAATTTTGACCACATGATCAAATATAGGCTAAAAGTAACTGAAGATGTAACTCCATGGGTACATACTTCCCGTTTTGATTCCCCAAAATACTCGTGAGGGAAGTGGCATTTTTTCAAACCTCTGACTACGCTCAAACACTTGATCATTAACTTTATGTTTTCAGTGCAAATTTGTCAACAAAAGCAGCAGCTCTATTTATTTTGTGTGCAAACGACACCCGGCCCACATGCAGAGCTGCAGATCCAACCTCAGAACCTGAAACACATCGAAAATCTGTCAGTTCTTCAGATTTTGGTTCAGGTGATGTTCCTGTGCAGCTGCTTCGTGTTGACACTAAATTGAAGGAAAAGGCTTTGCAGTTTTGTTTACTCCCTACAGTGTGGAAGTGCCTGCTGGCACACTGACCTCTTTGGCCTCGTCAGACTTCAGGTCGTCTGGTTTCAGCAGCTTTATGTCGAGATCTTTGAAGGTCTCTCTGAAGGACGAGTAGATTTTGTCATCCAGTTTCGTCAGTTTCAGGAACTTCGGATCGACTGATGAAATGAGCTGAACACAGAAGAGAGTATTTGATAAAGCTGTTAATACTTAGTATTTTTACATGTTGTATTTGTAGTTCATCCACCGCTGCTTCTAGACTAAACATTACTGGACACAAGGAAATAAACTAAACATACTAAATTTAAGACAAACGTGTGGGTTAAAAATACTTCATGCTAAATGGTCAACAAAGGTCTTACATTGAAGTATACTTCTGCGTGGTTGTAGGCCTTCATCGCCCACATGACCTCAAGCCGGGGCTGAAAGAAGAAAAAGGTGCACAGAAGGTCAAAGGTTAAACGGTTTTGTGCTGGCTCTCAGCCCAGTGCATGCTGGGAGTTCTCTCTGCAGCTCCGTTTCTCAGCAAAAACACATGTAGGTGGAAAAGTAACGCTAACATGAATCATCAGGCTGTATGTGCAGCTGGTGTTCTGAGCTGTAGGCCAGACTTCATTTAAAAAGAGACTAAATTTAGGTTTCTGGGTATTACAGCTGCTGCTATTATTTGATTATATAATTTACAACAAATGTTTGATTTAATGCATTTGATACTGATGTTTATTTTGTTGAGGGGGGGAAAAAAGTTTATTGCATATTTGTTGAAAACAGATTTTATCATAATAGTTTTGAATGTTCGTCCTCATATTTGTGAAGAGATCCACTGTTTCATCACATCAAGTGTTTGTTCTGACCAGAAAGAAAAGTTTGAAACCACAATTAACCGTCTGGTTTCTTCAACTTTCACTCAGGAGCAAAAATCAGCCTTTAAACTCGACAGAAATAATGAATTGACATTTATCCTGATAATTTTTGACTAATATGAAATTTGTAATCGTGAGAACATTTTTGGACCTATCGCCTACTTCACAGTGAACTGAAACTTTGTGTTTTGGACTTGGTTGGATGAAACAAGACATGGACTCTGTGTGACTGACACTTCTCTCTACTTTCTAAAGACATATTTACTGAACCAATAATACCAATAATGAAAACAATGGCTGCAGCCCTACATGTCATCTTCACCTCCAAACAAACATGCCTGGGTTTCTGCCTCAGGTTCTTCATGAGACAATAAACACTTTTTCACACATTAATATCAGATTCCTTCACTTTGATCCTTGCATGCAGCTGGAGGTGTAAAAATGTTCACTTACATCGTTTCCGTAAGCCTCTGCAGGAAGAGACAGAGCATGTGCAGCTGCTGACGCTCCCTCCAGCCCCTGTGAACCCAAACACACTGTAACTACATCAGGAACTACACCAGTGTCACACTGAAACATGTCCTCTGTCAGCTGAGTGGAACTTATAAGTCATTATAATAGTATTCACACGGAGGGGCCTACAGCACCTAAGACCAGGACTCAAACATAATAAAGCGGTCCTGATGTCCTGATTCATGACATGAGCCACAGATCGGCGTCAGTAAACACACATGACCTGTCAGAGTTCACTGTTTATCTGCAGGATTGTCTCCACACGTGTTTTCTCCTCGGCTAGCTAGCGTTAGCTTAGTTAAGCTAACTATCCTGCTTCGGTAAAACGTTGAACTTTCACTTTCTTAATTTCTCAGACTCGTTACAGACTCTCTGGTGAGACAGTTCACATGTAAACAGCTTTAACAGACAGGTAATATAAACACATTAGTTCACAGGTTGAGTCCTACCAGAGAGGCCAGTCCATTATCCGACGCCATTTTTCTCAGCCAAAGATCGTTTGTAGTTCGAGATGGACTACTGTGTGTTGTCTTGTACTGTACGCATGCGCGTTATCGCCCTATTTTGTCTCTTCAAAGATGAAGAAATATTGTCACATGTTAAACAGATTATAGGTTTACAAATGTACAAATCGCTGTTTATTTTAGATATTCTACCAACATGCATCAGTGGGGCTCCCAGCATTTACATTTTTTTAATCATAATTTCACCTTTTTATGCTTAATGACTTTTTTTAAATCTAAATTTGGATTTTTTATCACATTTTTGACTTTATCTCTTACTTTAGCCTAAGATCACATAGTTATGACTTTTTTAATACCTTTTATCTCATAATTTCGATTTTTCATCTCATCATTTTGACTCTTTACCCTATAATTTGGACTTATTATGAAATAGTTTTTTATTATCCAGGAGAACTTAATTGTATTTTGGGGGGGGGGGGGGGTTTACTGGCGGAAATGGGCTTACAGACTAATGTACTCATAATCCATTTCTGGGTCAAATTGAATTGAAGGACTCAAAGAGCTTTGTTTAAGTATCTTATAAGTGTGACTTTTTATTTCATAATTTTGACTTAACTTAACTTTTTATTTTACTGGTATAAATGGTGATTTCCTCCACACCTCCTCATGATCTGTAAAAGAGACATATTATTCCATATATGGCTCCTGTTGGATCTTTACATTAACAAACCATTTTAGGCAGACATGTCAAACATGTTTTATTGTAAAAATAATTAAAAAAATAAATACAACTCTTTATGGCATATTTTAACAATCACAATCATAAAATAGTGTTGATACAGTATTTAGATTACAGTAAACCAAAAGAAAACAAACCAAATACAATTCAAAAATGTGCAGGGCTTATTGAAGCAGTGTAAATAATTCCAATAAAGAAAAAAGTGTTGAATGTGTTGCATGGACTTTCCTAAAAGCTTGAGGTCATTGTTCCCTCAATTAATATGGGGCCTTACATTTAAATATTTATATATCTATGAATAAAGTGCTTACCTAGCATAATTTAAATTTATCAGAATATCTACACCAACTTTAATCAACATCACATTCAGAGAGTGAATTTCTACAAATTACAGTTAGAAAAACAGTTAAGGAAAAAATGTTCCACAGTCTTAATTTCGCTCTCACAGAATCCACGAGTTGTCATTCATTTCATGTAAGAAGTGATTAGATGGATGGATGTCATTTAAGTCACTTCATTAATTTCAGGTAGGATTGGCTAAGACACGTTTTGTTTCCTTATTGTCATTGCCTCTTCCTCACGAAATTCTTGAGAACATATTTTCTTTTCAGCTGGTTAAGATAGTATTAAAACATTTCTTAAAAACGTGTTAGTGAACTGCTTACTGGACAAGTCCATCCCTTTAATACAGAGCGGTCTCATCTCTGATACAATATTAGAGAAAATCATTGTTTTTCGGGGCCTTTATCACTTATCGTCAGACAGAGTGAAGCATCTTGCTTCTTCCTACTCTCTGTGCTCAACTTTGACACTTTGCTAATGTTCCCGGTTTTAAAGGGCCAGTGCCAGAATTAAATAGAAGTGACTTATTTTTTTCATATTCAAAATGAAAATGTAGGTATTTAATTGTATTGACCCAATTCGTTTTTCTATAAATCCAAAGGCTGAAAAAACTATTAAAACAGTTTTGTCGTTTAAAACTCGTCACTTTATCCTTTGCATATGATATGATCTGTAAAATTAGCAGATTATTAGTATAACTTTTTGGGATTTATGTTTATTTTTGCACTTGCATCTACATTATATTTTTTTCCTACACTGTAGCTTATGTTTTGTTTTGTGTGCATGTACTTCTATCTCCTCCATAGTATTATGTTGTACTGCTGTAACTTTATAAAATTATTTTGAAAAAGTTAAGTGGATAAAAACAAACAAAAATGAAAACAAGTCTTGATGTTGAAGCTTTAGTCTTAAAAGTTAGGGGTGGAAATCACCAGATGCCTCACAATACTATATTAATTACCTTTTTTTTCCAACTTAGTATGTCAGAAAAACTGTCAAAATCTCTTTTATCTACTATCACTAAGTGGTGCTATTGAGTTTTCTAATGTAGTGAAAAAGCAAGAGATCTTATTCTAGTACCAAACATTTAAATTCTCATGTGAAATTTTTATTATAAAAGACCGAGACTTGGCGTCCACATATCAAAAGCTATTAAAAGTTATTAGCTCTACTTTCATATATACACACACACACACACACACACACACACACACACACACACACACACACACACACACACACACCATTCCTTTAACTTATTTAAACACAAATCATTGATCTGAAAAAAAGCTTCAGTAACTAGATTGCAGCACATATTAACCAATTAAACTTGATTTATATTTCTGCCGTAGGCTGCTTGCTTGCTGCTATACAAGCAATCCCAGTATATGCAGACACTATGGGATATATGGATGCTTCGAAACCCATTATCAACACTGACAAAGAAACAACTTCTAGCTCAGTGTTCTAACATCCGCAAACGGCAGCTCCTATCACAACTACAGATTGATGAGGTACAACAAATATGCTACGGCAAGGGGGAGCCAGGCCCCAAAGTACCCTCTGAAAGTCTGCTAGAAGATGTGAATGCAGCACTACATACTATCCCTACTAAACCCATAACCGAGACCAATGAAGAGAAAGAGGCATGGCAGACCAATCTGTGCACTGCCTGGACTGACTACAAGAAAACCTACGACTCAATGCTTGGAAATGTACAAGATAGCCTTCATCAAGAACTCAAAGGGGCTGTGGAAAACAAGTCTGGAAGCCAACTCAAAGCCAATTGCACAAGTCACCAAGTGCGGCTAGTGAGTGTCAAGACCACTGTCCAAGATGAAACAATGAAGATGAAGGGCTTAGTGAATACCTCAGGCAGCAGAAAACTATATATATATAAAAAATCCTGTGTCATCCTCCAGCTCGGGTCGTCTACCAGAGGCCTGGGAGTTTGAGGGTTCTGCGCAGTATCTTAGCTGTTCCTAGGACTGCACTCTTCTGGGCAGAGACCTCTGATGTTTTACCTGGAATCTGCTGTAGCCACTCTCCCAGTTTGGGGGTCACAGCTCCCAGTGCTCCGATTACCACTGGCACCACTGTTGCTCTTACTTTCCACATCGCTTCTACCTCTTTCAGCCCTTGGTATTTCTCAAGCTTCTCGTGTTCCTTCTTCTTGATGTTGCTGTGGCTTGGGATTGCCACATCTATCACTGCAGCCTTCTGCTGTTGGTTGGTTAGCCATCACCAGTTTGTCAGGCTGGATGTTCTGAGAGATATATATATATCTCAATTTGTGTCTTGCTTGGACCATCACCTGCTTCTGCTTCAAAGTCGGCACCATAAAGGTAACATTTTGATTCCTCTTTCCACAATTTTGGCACTGAAATATTTTCTCCTGGTTAATCTTTTGTGTGATGTAGATACAAAGCCAGAAAATCATTTTCCATCTCAGAATCAGAGAACCAGAAAGACAAATATCCAATTAAATTTGTTGATCTGCGGTTATGTTGACATAAACCGAACTAATCTGCAGAGGCACTTTAGGTTCAGGACATCTGATTGACATGAAGTCCAGGTCCAGGTGGAGGAGGTGGCTGAGTGTGGAGCAGAAGGAGTGGAGGAGTCTCAGTGTGTCTGCAGAGACTGTGTAGAAGGACAGAGCAGCAGCAGAGCAGTCCAGATCCACTGATGATACTCTGTCACATCCAGAGGAACACACAGGGATGATGGTGGACTTGACTTTGTGTCTGACAGTGGAGCTGATCTCAGAGCAGTTCAGACTGCAGCACTGTTGGGATTCCTCTGTCAGTCACTGCTGGATGAAGCTCTCCTCTCCACTCTACCTCCCAGTAACATGGCCCAGTCAGAGCCTCTCCACACACAAGCTGATGCTGCTGCTTCAACCTCTCTGGATCATCAGGACACAGCTGATCCTCTCTCAACACCTCCACCTTTCTGATTCCTCGCAGTCTGACGGAGATCACTCCTTCCAGCTGATGAGAGAAGAAGAGAAACAGCAGAAGTCATAAATCAGAGTTTGCAGAGACTCCCTTCATCAGCTGTCAGTCAGTGATGCAGCACATCCAGTATTTCACGAACAAGTACCACGCCGATGTAGGGTATAAAAAGCTAGTTTATTCAGATAATGGGGGCTCATCTTAATAAGTAGCTTGCTTATCACTCCCTTTACTTACTAAGTGGAGATGGGCTCTTCAAACGTTGCTGAAGTTGTTGCGGATATAACTAAGGTAGGCATAGCAAGATAAACAACTGAGGATTTTGATAGTGTGGTCTGGGATCCATTGACTGGAGGCGGAGGAAGCAGCTTAGATGCTGAAAGAGTGACTGGAGTATAGTTCGGCTGAAATACTGGATTTGGCAGAGGATGGTGATGGAACCAGAAGAGTGTGGCAACTCTGCCTGATTCTGTAGTGAAAATTAGGTCTTGTGGAGAAGCGTGATGGTGTAGTCTGTGTCTGGATGGATTCGAAGGGCTCAGATAAGAGTTTTAAAAAGGAAAATGGGATGACAGAGGCCAAGCTAGTTTGTTTTGCTTTTTTTGAGGTTTAATCTGATGGTTTCTGAGGAGTGGACAGAAATGTTGGAGAGGCCTGTGTGCCGGGTAGAATCGTAGCTGGATGAATTGGTGGTGAATTCTGAGCACCCTAAAAAACAAAGAATGCGAGGAGGAACATTGCTTTGAGGGTTGAATCGATAGAGGGAAATAAATATCATGCGCAGAAAATTTGGATGCAAGGATGCGAGGGGTCTGATGTCAGGGGTAGTCGTTTTGGAGTGAGCTGAGGTTCTGTTTTTCGGAGACCTTTTATTAGCATGTGGACGTGGGGGAGAGAAATTTAAGGAGCAGGTGGTCCGGAAATAAGTTTGATGAAGAAGTTTATCCTGCTAAGGTATATGTGAAGAGTAGATGTTCTAATTTTAAAGATGGCAGGCCGAACAAGGTATAGAATGTTCTGAAACTACACCATCCTGA